GTGTGTGTGTGTGTGTGTGTGTGTGTGTGTGTGTGTGTGTGTGTGTGTGAGAGAGAGAGAGAGTGTGTGTGTAAGTGAGTGTGTGTGTAAATGAGTGTGTGTGTGAGAGTGTGTGAACACATGCAGTGAGACCAAAGTGTGTGTTCAGAGTTTTCATTACTTATTTACAGTCATGGCTCTGTAAATCTGGGCTCTCTGATTGGCTCGTGCGCCGCTGACCGGTTAAAGGCGTCATCAGTCTCTCTCTCTCTCTCTCTCTGTGTGCTGCTGGGGCGAGCGAGAGGCCCTTGTGTCATAAAGCAACCTGATCTCACTGCAGCATCAGCATCAGCATCAGCAGCTCCAGCGAGACGATGGACCTCCCGACACACCGCTGCAGCTGCGTGTGTCTGCTGCGTCACGGATGTGAGGATTCACACGGGAACCCAGAGCACCTGCGCCCGAGAGCTGCACGCGTGTGCGCTGCACGTGTGCCCGTTGCCATGGCGATAAGCGTGGGCTGAGAGGATGGAGGCTGCGTGTGGCGGGTCGTCCTCTGACGGGACGGTGGAGCTCTGGGAGGCTCTGGAGTTCATCAGCGGATGTGGAGAGGATGGAGGAACACGGCTGGACTCGTTAGAGCTCGCGCAGGTCCGCTTCTGCCTAACCCTGACCTAACTAGCAGTTCATACAGACACAAACAGGCTAGTGATCTGGCGCTTCCGTTTGACGTCTGACTCTGGTTTATCTGGATGTTCTGGGGTTCATGTGGATGCAGTGCAGTGTTATTTCAGTAGCATATTATAGTATATTATGAGTTTTAGAATTCCCGTTTTCGTTTTAGTAATTGTTGTTTGATTTTATTAGTGTTTTTTTTATTTATTTCTGGTTTAGTTTGAATAATTGTAGTACTTTACATTTAATTAGAAATGCCGCTGTGGCAGCTTAATGTATAACTGAAAGTTGTTTTCTTGATTTCAGTAAAGTTTATTTCAATTAATGTCAATGATTTTTAATAGATTTAGTTAATGATTATATTATGATTCATTTTGTTTTTGTTGGTTTTATTAGTTAAAAAAAAACAGGTTTTAGTTTTTATTCTTTATTATTTTAGTTTTAGTTTAGTAATTCAACTTAAACTAATAAAACATTTAAATGCTGCCTTGGCAATTAACTGGAATATATATTGAAAGTATAACTAAGTTTATTTTTTTAGTTATCATACATGTTTTAGTTACCAATAATATTGATGTGATTTAATTTTGTTGTGTTTATTAGTTTCATTTGATTTTATTTCATGTAATTCATTTAAAAACTTATATATAATGAAGTTTTTAGCGATATTTAAGTTTTTCAATAGTTTATTTAATGATAACAGTAAGAATGAAAGCAGTCTAGACTAATTTGCAATATTTATAATTAGTATAATTAGTTTTTATTTTGAATGTTTACATTACAATTCATTTTTCTCCCGTGTTTTGTGCCATTGATGAAGAATGATAAACCAGGCAGGAAAACCGTGGTTTATAAGGTTTATGAAGCTGCATTTCCCATCATTCCCAGTCTGTAGAAGAAGAATAAAACAGCAGCAGCAGATGTGTGTCATGTTCAGTATACGAAGCATCATCATAATGATTCCTGAATAATGAGCTTCGTCTCCTCACTCCTCTGATCTCACTGAACTCCTGTCTGATAGCATGCGCTGAAGCCGGTCGCAGGGAAGCGTTGTGTGCTGCTGAGTTTGATGAGGTTTGTGTGTGGTTTCTCCTGCGTCTCCAGCACGATCAGCTGTACACATGGGCAGCCGTCAGTCAGCCGCCTCCGTCTCTGGAGCATCTGGAGGGACACCTGAAGAACCTGTGGCCCCTGACCAGACCAGGAGCCGAGGACCGGCCCCAACCCAAATACACCGAGGATGGTATGAAAACACACACATTCTCACACACACACACACACACTCACACTCACACACAGACACACACAGACACACGGACACTCACACTCACACACAGACACACACACACACACACACGGACACACACACACACTCACACACACGGACACACACACACTCACACACACAGTCAACCACACCACACACACACTCGCGCACTCACTCACACACACACACACAGACACAACGACATAACACTGACCTCTAGTAGGACGTTGATGTAACTAGCATCAATACTCACAGACTGAGTTACTTTAATAACCTATCTATTAGAGAGTGGGATAGTCTTACAGATCCACACTCACTCGCACGCACACACTCACTCACTCACTCGCACACACTCACTCACGCACGCACTCACTCGCACGCACTCACTCACTCACTCACTCACACACACTCACTCACTCGCACTCACTCACTCGCACGCACTCACTCACACTACGTTTGGCAGTTTTATTTATTTATTTATTTATATTTATTTATTTTTTCCAGAAATGTTACCTTGGCAATATTTACTGAACTGTAGATGATGCCAATAATACTATATTAATAATAATAATATTATTATTTTTTATTTTTTTTTACAAGAAGCGTATCTCTGACTATATTGTTCAAACTCAAGCATTCAGCTACCGTTATTGTTAGAAACATTCCTCTTTTTATGCGATACATTTTTCTTTGTGACATTGTTTATTTGAAAATAGTTTTTGTTTTTTAAATAAAATAGCTAAATCACACACATCACGGCTTAAAACAAAACCCAAATCTCATGTAAAATGAATAATATAATGGCTGGTATAATGTTGAGTCGTGTCTACTAAGGTGGATTCTTTCAGGATTTCAGGTCTTTATTTGTCCTCTATTTGTAGCAGAAGCTCTGTTAGTTCTCGTTGTAGTTGAGCTCCGTCTTTTAGATCTTCAGAAACAGGATGTGAGTGTTCTCAGAGAGTCTGCTGCGGTGTCATTTAAGTCTTAAGGGTTCTGAATGTCTAAACTGGGTTATTTTTCTTATTATTTGTGCGTTTGCAGCGGTTGAGGAGCAGGAGGGTGAGTAACTCACGCTCATGTCATCTGTGCCATCGCCCCATTTCAACCCCGTCACCGGCTGAGCTTTACTTCAGAAATATTGCAACATTTGAATTCATTTTAGGCTTTTTTTCCCCCACATGCTGATGTTTGTTTACTAATGTTGCCTAGCAACAAGCAGCACTCATCTTTCACTCCCTCAGTCCTCATCAGCACCGATCATATTCACATCATTCACATGATCATACAGGACAGAATTAATAACTCTCTGCATGTTGAGGATCAGTGTCATGAGTGTTTTTCTGCCCATCATCCTTTGTGCCATGCGTTGTGTGATTTCTAGTCAAACATCTGGACACACATGATTTTTTAAAAATATATTAATTGTTTTTTTTTTTTTT